AACCAGAACCCCCACCTCACCACTTACAGGGGGCCGCGCCGTAACTTCATATTGTGCGGCCTCAGGATTTTGCGCGGACCAATCCGCGTGACCAGCCGGCTACTGCCAGGACCCGGGAGCATCGTTGGGTTCACCACGCTGGTATGACTAGGCGGTGCGTTCCACTGGGATACCGCCGCCCCAGCGTGGACGCGGGGTACTGGGGGCGGGGGGGTACAACACTCGGGGTTCACGAGTCATCACTGACCACAGTGTCGCCGGAGCACTTTCGTGTTTAACTTCACAGATCGGACGGGATATGGTGCTTTCACTCAAGTGTGGTCGTACTCGAGAGCGCCGCGGGGTGGGCCTCCCTCGCGCCGGCCCTTTCTCCGTGCCGCGAAAAAAAAGTGGGAGTACGGCACTCAGGGTTCCCGAGTCATCACTGACCTCAGTACTAACTGGGCCTGTAAGTGGTTAACTTCACAAATCGGACGGGATATGGTGCTTTTGTTCAGCGCCCCTGGGGGCTGCCTGCGTGCGTGGGCGATTGCTCCCAGCACCTGGCTTGAGCGTGGCCCGGCTAATGGCCGGCCGGGCCCGCGGGTTGCGGGGGCCACCGCCCGACAGCACAAGAGGCCATCGTAGTGGTTCCGCGGATGCATATCCGTGGCCGAGGTGTGAAGTTGGCGTCCTTGGCACCTGTCGGGTGGCTGCCCCGGAGTACGGTGTCGGATGGGTTAGTGAGGTACGCTTGCGCGCACGTCGTGGCCACGGCTGATCTCTCGGTCGGGTGGTGGTCATGATCGCCGCATCGGCTAAGCCTGGGCCGATTCGAACCCACCGCTCCCTTCCTAGGTCCGCGTCACCGTGGTCGCTCTCACCGGGGGAGTGGGGTCACGCCCGTGGGGACCTGAAGCGGTCTTCCCCACCCCGTCCGCCGTAGTCAGCTGAAGATCCTTTGAACTTCCAATGCCTCTGCAGGTGGGTTTCGCAACCAGAACCCCCACCTCACCACTTACAGGGGGCCGCGCCGTAACTCCATACTGTGCGGCCTCAGGATTTTGCGCGGACCAATCCGCGTGACCAGCCGGCTACTGCCAGGACCCGGGAGCATCGTTG